TGTAATCCCAGCACTTTGGGAGGCCGAGGTGGGTGGATCACCTGAGGTCAGGAGTTCGAGACCAGCCTGGCCAACATGGTGAAACCCCGTTTCTACTAAAAATACAAACAATTAGCTGGGCATGGTGGTGTGCGCCTGTAATCCCAGCTGCTTAAGAGACTGAGGCAGGAGAATCGCTTCAACCTGGGAGGCGGAGGTTGCAGTGAGCCGAGATCTTGCCATTGCACTCCAGCCTGGACAAGAGTGAAACTCCATCTCAAAAAAAAAAAAAAAAGTGTATTGTTTGAGCAAACACATTCTTTCTTTGTAGTTAAGTTCGTCATTGGTCGTTAAATTTCTACTTCATTTGTGAAACTTTTAAAGATGAAAAGCAAAATTTTAAAAATACCTTAAGGTTTTATTACAAAGCCTAGAAAAAATATCATTTGACCATATTATCTACCTCCTCACAGTATTTGGATATGGTAGTGTGGTAGTATGTCTATTTATAAATAAGAGAGGACACTGTTTGTGGGTGGTCAGTGGAAATAAATTCACAGGTAGGTTTTAAGTTGCATGTCCAACCATGCTAAAAATGTGCTGATTTGTACATGAAAGTTAAGTCAGAAGTTGGGTTTATTAATTATTTGAGCTCAAAAACTAATTTTACTTGTAAAGAGTAAAAGAATTACATAAATCAGGAGTGTGGTGTTTCTGTCTTCTTGAATTATTTAAGTAAACCTTAGCGGGTTTATTAGTATATTCCTAGCCTAAGTCGCCCTTTACATACTGTTAGATTAAAGGTCTAAAAATCAGCGCTGGGAAAAAAAGGAAATATTTTAAATTTCACATTGTTACCAAATTTTTTGAAACAAAATTATTTTTGATAATCTTTTTCTTATTCTTACTAATATAAAAATGTTCTACCATAGCACAAATGTTTAATATTTAATGTATATCAATAAGATTTAGAGACAGAATTATATCTTGGAATTATTTGCGGATACACAATCTACTTTTCTGAAATTCTCATTAAATGTAATTTCTTTTTTCATATCTGAAGGGCGCCATTCTCACTGGTCCTCCAGGCACTGGGAAGACGCTGCTAGCTAAGGCCACAGCCGGAGAAGCCAATGTCCCCTTCATCACCGTTAGTGGGTCCGAGTTTTTGGAGATGTTCGTTGGTGTGGGCCCAGCTAGAGTGAGTCTCATTCTGTTCTGGTGGTACAGCTTCCTTACACCCACCACTTCCCCACAGATGGGGGGACTTGCTAGAGATGGCCCTTCGCCCTAGAGTGCTAGAGTGACCTCTCACCAGTCCATGGCCTGAGCTCCAGGCCTAAGCCTTCAGGAAGGCCTGTGACTTCTACCCCACCTTCCCTCGCACCAGCTAGGACTGCAGTCTGCTACCTATATTAGACCAATTTCAAGAATTGATGGCTTGGCGCGGTGACTCATACCTGTAATCCCAGCACTTTGGGAGGCTGAAGTGGGCGGAACGCTTGATGTCAGGAGTTCGAGACCAGCGTGGCCAACATGGCGAAACCCTGTCTCTGCTAAAAATAGAAAAATTAGCCAGGCGTGGTCGTGCATGCCTATGATCCCAGCTATTTCGGAGGCTGAGGCAGGAGTATCTCTTGAACCCAGGCGGCAGAAGTTGCAGTGAACCAAGATCACACCACTGCATTCCAGCCTGGGCGACAGAGTGAGACGCTGTCTCAAAAAAAAAAAAAAAGAGTTTGCTTTATTGGTGGATTTTTTTTTTTTTTTTTGGTGACAACGTTTATTGAGATATAATTGACATACCAAACAATTGATCTGTGTAATGTATACGATTCAGTAGCTTTTAGTAATTCACAGATTTGTGCAGCCATCACCACAATCAGTTTTACAACATTTCCATTACATCAAGAAGAAATCCTGGCCGGGCACGGTGGCTCATGCCTGTAATCCCAGCACTTTGGGAGGCCGAGGTGGGCGGATCACAAGGTCAGGAGATCGAGACCATCCTGGCTAACACGGTGAAACCCTGTCTCTACTAAAAATACAAAAACAAAACTAGCCGGGCGTGGTGGCGGGCGCCTGTAATCCCAGCTACTCGGAAGACTGAGGCAGGAGAATGGCGTGAACCTGGGAGGCGGAGCTTTCAGTGAGCTGAGATCTCGCCACTGCACTCCAGCCTGGGTGATGGAGTGAGACTCCATCTCAAAAAAATCAGGAGTCCTAAGCAAACTACACAGCAGAGTTTCCTAGTACAGACATTCTATGTAAATGAAATTATACAATATGTGGTTTTTTATGCCTGATTTCTTTTACTTAACATAATGTTTTCGAATCATAAGTCTATATTTAACATTTTAAGGAACCACCAGACTGTTTTCCAAACTACTTGCCCATTTTCCATCCTACCAGCAGTGTGTAAGGGGCTCTGATGTTTCCCCGCCCTCACCAACACTGGTTATTGTCTAATTTTTAATGATAGCCACCTTGGTGGGTGTGACATAGTATATCGTGGTTTTGATTTGCATTTGCATGATGAGGAGTGATGTTGAACATCTTGTATGTGCTTATTGGCCATTTGTATATTTTTATATCTTCCTTGGAGAGATGTCTATTCAGATCCTTTGCCCATTTTTTAATTGGGTTTTTTTTTTGGTTGTTGAAGTGTAAGAGGGTTTTTTTTTTTTTCCTGAGATGGAGTCTTGCTCTGTCGCCCAGGCTGGAGTGCAGTGGCATAACCTCTGCCTCCTGGGTACAAGTGATTCTGCCTCAGCCTCCCTAGTAGCTGGGATTATAGGTGCCTACCACCATGCCCAGCTAATTTTTGTATTTTTAGTAGAGATGGGGTTTCACTATGTTGGCCAGGCTGGTGTTGAACTCCTGACTTCAGGTGATGCACCCGCCTTAGCCTCCTAAAGTGCTGGGATTACAGGTGTGAGCCACCGTGTCCGGCCTCACCTTCAAATCTGTTTCACACTTTGCTCTTGTTGTGCAGGTAAGTCATAGAAAAATAGGGAATGAGGGGGAGTTGGGCATTTATGATGATGGGCCATGAGATATAATGTGGATGGGGGGAGATTGAAGACAGGAGAGGAGCTGTGGGTGGTGGTGGGGAAGGGTGGGCCTGGTGGATTGGAGAGCTGAGAAGTGGTAAAGAGTTGACATGAGATACCTGAGTGTGTGTGTGGGGCCAGATGATAGGAGGGGGTGCTCAGAGAGGAGATGTCTTGAAGATGGTGGTTTAAAAGGCAACCTTGTCAGTGCTGTTCTTGTCAGAGTGAAATAAAAGGTGAATGAAGAGGTGGCCAGGGAACTGAGAGACCGAGAGTCACATGGATGGAAATCACTGAGGACATAGTGATGTCCCACGGGGAGACCCACGTGGGTGGAGGGGTGGAGTGCCTGCCACGAGGCCTGAGCCTCAGCAAGCAGGGGCTTTTCCAGCAGTTATTTTGGTAGCAGCAGTGGAGTGTGAGATGGACCCCAGCTCCAGCCAGCCTGTAGGGGAAGATGCAGACTCCTGCTTAAGGCTTGCTGGAATAGCTCAGTTCCTGTTCATACCAGGACAGGATGGATGTAGTTTGAAGGTGTGGTTCTGTAGGTCACAGATCTGGAGTTCAGAGGGGAGGCTGGAGAAGGATACGAGTTATTTTAGGAGATGTGTTCAGAGCAGTGTAGGAATGAACATCCAGAAATCCAGGCAGGAAGACCTGGACTTCTGGCCAGTGA